CCTCCTCCATCCCCTACACCCCCTCCCTATCTCTGTCTCCTCCTCCATCCCCTACACCCCCTCCCTATCTCTGTCTCCTCCTCCATCCCCTACACCCCCTCCCTATCTCTGTCTCCTCCTCCATCCCCTACACCCCCTCCCTATCTCTGTCTCCTCCTCCATCCCCTACACCCCCTCCCTATCTCTGTCTCCTCCTCCATCCCCTACACCCCCTCCCTATCTCTGTCATCTCCTCCATCCCCTACACCCCCTCCCTATCTCTGTCACCTCTTCCATCCCCTATACCCCCTCCCTATCTCTGTAACCTCCTCCGGCCCCTACACCCCCTCCCTATCTCTGTAACCCCCTCCACCTCCTACACCCCTGCCTATCTGTGGGATGAATGCCTGCTCACTATGTCCTGTCCCAGCTGTTATCCCCCTGGCCTGTCACCTTGGTAAAATGTCCCCTCCCTTTTTAATACACCAGACACCACTTCAAGCTCTCCCTCAGTACATCAAGAAGCCAATGACATCCTCTGTCTGACTGTTCTGTCTCATTCTCTGATGGTCCACAACTATGACTGTCATTGCAGTTTAATACCTTTGCGCAAGTCTCCAGTTCCTGCAGTTATCTTTCTTCAAAATTTGATTGGGGATGTGGCCACCACAGGCTGTGCCCAGCATTTATTGCCGATCCCTAATTCCCCTTCAGAAGGTGGTGCCTTGTTGAGCTGCTACAGTCCATGTGATGTATGGTCAGCCACAGTGCCGTTTGGAAGTGAATGTCAGGATTTTAACCCAGCCGCACTGAAGGAACATCGATGTATTTCCAAGTCAGGATGGTATGGGAGGTCTGTGGAATAGGGAAGGTGACATTGCCTGTAATTATTTGATTCACCACCTTGTTTACCCCTGGACTATTCCAGCTTTTTTGATTCTCTGGCAGACATTCCAACAAAGTGTGTCACTATGTTCTTTTCTAGTTCCATTCGTCCTCACAACAACGCTTACTTTTCCCCAGGGTAGGGATATGGCCAATGATATAGCACTAGGCCTCTGTCTGGATTTTAGTATTGAGAGCCAGTCAGCCAGGAATCAATAGTCACCAACAAACAGACCAAATGTTTATTAAAAATACCAAGCTTACACAAAGAGGCAAAAATCATTGACACAAATTTGGACAAAAGCAAATATGTATATCTCCCCTTATAAACAAAGAACTAAAGCACACATCTCAGGAGAAACAAAATTCCGCAGTGTTAACATGAAAGTACTTCAGCCAAGTAACAGATACAGTCAGGGGAAAATGGATAAGTCATAGCTGATCCCAAATGGTGCTGTGATACTGAATCTATTCTGCACATGCGCGCACACACACACACACACAGACACAAACGCACACACAGACACACGGACATACATGCACAGACATAAATGCACACACGCATAAACAGACACATCCACACAAACTGCTGGCACTGGGCTTTCCTCCTGAAATTGTTGCACTTGCCTGAATTCCTTTTGCTTCTGATGGTGGAGTAGGTTCCAATGAATCCCCCCTCAGCGCTGACGATGCCTGCTGGTGGGTTTTCAGCTCTTTTTTTGCTGAGAAGATTTGCAAAGAAAGGCTGAGGGAGGAACAGGCTGTTGTTGCCTCTGAGGGACATGTCGCAAATTCTATCTCCGACCGAGTTCAAAAATGCAATAATCTTATATCCCCCCCCACTACTGCCCACAAACTGGGCCAAGCGCCCCCCTCCCTAATAGTCCACCAAACTGAGTAACATCCAGACATGTGACCCCTCCCCTCAACATTGCCTTGGAATTTCCACAGTACACAAAAGATAGGAACAGGAGTGGACCATTCAACCCATCAATCCTTGCTCTGCTGTTCAACACAATCTTGGCTGATCTTAAGGTTAAGTCCCTCCATCCTGGCCCCTCCCAATATCCCAAGAGACTGGCAATGGGCCCATCCTGACCCACAAAGCCTTAATGGAGCAGGGAAATCTGGAGGAGCCCCCTCCATGTCTGGGCTGTCTCTTTGCAGAAGAGGCATACTCCGCTGCCCTCTCCTCACCAGACCGTTTTCTTTCATTAAAAAGAAGCATGTCTCCTTTGGTCTTTTGTCAATTGCCACTTTACAAAGTAGCGGGGAACAGGAAAAATGAAGCCAGTGGAGTGAGGCCAGGGCAGCTGGCCAAGGAGCAACGGCAACCGGAATGTGTAGGGTCAGTCCAGGGTGGCTGTCATTGGCATCAGGAGGTGCCACCCTGTGCCATGCCCATCTGGAGCCTATTCCACAATCAGCTGGAGCAGGTTGACACCTTCTGCAATCACTCAATCTCCCAAAACTCTTCCTTTCCCCATGGACAAACTCTGGTCAAGAATCTGGAATGGAGTCCCAAGGCTGATGGGGAGTCCGAGCTGTAAGTTGCCATCTCCTGTCTGCCTGCCCGTCCCAAGCCCAGCGCTGCGCACACATGGACCCCACCCCGTTCACCAGCTCTCTCTCTTCGCAGGCTGAATGGCTTCAAGAAACAGCAGGAGATCCTGCGGCAGAAACACGCGGCGTTCATGGAGAAATACAGGCTGAAGACACGAGGGGGCAGCGATGAGTGAGAGGTCGATGCTCCCCCCCACCAACCCTAACCCTACCCCACACCAGCTGGGGGGAGCAGGCACCGACACCCTCATCCTCGGGCCTTGGGAAGCACTGTATTGGCACTGCCCTGTCCACCTCCCAACCCGTAGAGCTGACTGCTAAAAACATGAGAGAACATAGCCTGCCGTTTTGTGTGCATTGACTCCCAGGGGCCAGACTGGGGGTGATGGCAATGATGAACAGAGGAGAGAACTCTCAACGCAGACCGCACTCAGACCACTGCGGCCTCCTTAGGACTTTGTAACGTGTGTTGTTTGTTGCGGCTCAGGACGCCCTCCTCCCAGTCATCATTAAAACCCAGTTCAGAGTGCGCATTGGGATCAGAATCACATACCTCGTGCTCCCTTTCCCAATAAGATCCGCTTTTGATCCGCACTGAGTCGGGGCAGTGGGGATCGAAGTGGCAGTCCCAGGAAAACAGACCCTGGTCCTCAAAGTCTGTGGGGAGGGTGGCTCAATGATTTCAGATCGAGACGACAGGCCCTCGCCATACACCTCTCCCCCCCACCTCTGTCCCCACGCTCGTTCACCACCCCCCCACCCTGGTCCGTTCCATACCAGCAAACCCATTGGCACGAGGTGCCAATGCCAACGAATTCCAGCACTTCCTTATTTTACTGGCATGGTCCTCTGCGGAAATACGCACCCATGGACTCACCTGCCTTGTCCGGACGTCGAGTCTCCAAGACTGTGTTTTGCATATGGAAATAAATATCATCAGGATGTAATCCTCTCCTCACTCCTTCTCCACACTCCCCTGCCTGTTTCAAAAGGGAAGGGGTGTGAGGGTGCCGGATTGAATATCCACAATTTGATGGACATCAGTCTGTATCATGTTTGCTGTTTAGAGAAATAGTCACAAAACCAGGCTTCATTCCCAGTGGAATTTGATAGACTATTTTCCACTTTCCAGTTCTCTTTCTATGCATCTGGACATCGTAGGAGTAGGCCTTTCAGCCTGTGGAGCCTGTTCCACCGTTCAATGAGATCTTGGCTGATTTGTGGCCTAACTCCACAACTGTGGTTTTTGGTCAGTCATCTCAGCTTCAGGACACCTCTGCAAGAGTTCCTCAGGGTAGTGTCCTAGGCCCAACCATCTTCAGTTGCTTCATCAATGACCTTCCCTCTGTCATAAGCTCAGAAGTGGAGATGTTAGCCGATGATTGCACAATGTTCAGCACCATTCGCGACTCCTCAGATACTGAAGCAGCCCATGTTCCAATACAAGAAGATCTGGACAATATCCAGGCTTGGGCTGACAAGTGGCAAGTGACATTCGTGCCACGCAAATGCCAGGCTATGCCCATCACCAATAAGAGACAATCTAACCACTGCCCCTTGACATTCAACGGTGTTACCATCACTGAATCCCCCACTATCAACATCCTGGGGTGTTATCACTTCCATCTAGAGGGACAAGGGCAGCAGATACATGGGAGCACCAATTTCAGTGTCACTGGATTGAAACCCTGGAATTCCTTCCCCAGTGGCATTGTGGGTCGACCCTCAGCAGGTGGACTGCAGTGGTTCAAGAAAACAGCTCACCACCACCTTCTCAAGGGGCAACTAGGGACAGGTAATAAATGCTGGCCAGCCAGTGACACCCACGTCCCACGAATGAGCAAAAACAATATCCCTGCCTTGGGTCCATATCCCTTCATGTCTTTGCTTAATAAAAATTTATCTATCTCAGATTTAAAATTAACAAATGATCCAGCATCCACTGCTGTTTCTGGAAGAGAGTTCCAAGCTATCTATCGCCCTTTGTATGTAGAAGTGCTTCCTAACTTTTGTCCCGAACGCTCTGGCCCTAATTCTCTGACTATGCTTCTTGCTCCAGAATCCCAACCAATGGAAATAGTTTATCTTCATCAACCCTGTCTTTTCCTGTTAATATCTCAAAAGACTTTAATGAGATCACGCCTCTCCCTTAATGACATCAGGTCACATTTGGCATATTTGAGTGGACAGCAGGAAATATTATCCTTTTCCCCAGTTTAGGAATGGGCAAAGCTGCTGATATCCTTCGAGAAGCTGCCTCTGAGCCTTGGACAGCAGCTGTCCTGAGTGTGGTTTGCCAGTGTAATATAGGAATATTACAGCAAGTTCCCACAAGCAGCAATGCACGACTGAAGCAGATCGTTTCTGTTAAAATGGTACCAGATGAGGGATAAATGATCAAGGCATTCTCGAGTGGGGCTCCAAGCCCCAATTCCCTGCCTGCCACAGCAGTCCCCGAGCTGCCCAGGGAGCAGTTGTAGTCAGAGCAGGGAGGAAGAGGAGGCAGCCTGCCTGCCCATGTCTTCCGTGCAAGAGTTGATCTATAACCCAGTGCCAGGCAGCGTGTGAATTCAGCCTTGGCACTGATAGTAGAGTTGATTATAACCTGATTGTAGATTACGTGCAGTACAGCCACACTGCGTGCTCTGCAGTGACCTTTTCTCCAGGCACAATAAATTGTTACCTGTGTCCCAGCAGAGAGGCTGCCTTCTCAGGGTAGCTTCCGCAGGAGGTATCTGCCCTGAATTGAGTCCCTGTGTAGGTCCAGGCAACACATGTTGGCAGCATTTATGATCCCTTCCATCATCAAGAGCTGGTCTCCCACCATGTGACAACAGGAAAGCAACAGATTCCCCATCTCTTTCTCTCTCTAACCCTGGGGATCACTGGATAGTGATCAGGAACAGAGACCTTGTCTGATTCCTCCTCTCTCTAACCCTGAGGATTACTGGACAGTGATTAGGAGCAGGGACCCTGTCTGATCCCCCGCCCCAACCCTGGGATCATGGACAGTGATCAGGAGAAGGGACCCTGTCTGATTTCCCCCCGCCACCCCCTCTAACCCTGGGGATCACTGGACAATGATCAGGAGCAGCAGCTCTGGCAGATTCTCCCCATCTCCTTTCTTTAGAGGCCCTGAGGCCAGATAGAGTGCTATAACTGTTAGGAATCGGTTCCCTGAGCCACAAGGAGATAAACAGGTGCTGTGCATTGCTACCTTGCCCATCTTCACTGTCTGCAGCTGGTATGTAGCAGTAGGCATTTGCCCACACTGATGCTGCAGGGCAGACTCCAAGACTGTCTAAATGTCAGGCTGATTGTCGTGGAATCAAACAACACAATAGGAGGCCATTTCTGCTCTTTGCTAGCTGTCTCCAAGTGTTGAATGATAGGATAGGGTGGAATGCAGGGAAACTGAGTGGCTGTTAAAATATTCATGAGGGTGACAGAACTCCAATCCAGGAGTCCCACTACCAATGACTGCTTGCTGGATATATCCAGGGAATCTTCATCTCCTGATCACAGCCTCCTCTCCCTGCAAGGAAAGGGTTACACCCAAGACTAGATACTCAAACAACACACCAGCCTGAATGCATGCCATACAGAACTAACCATAAAACATTGGACCACCTTGAGACTCTATGTGCCTCATTGCTGTCCTCACAGCTACGTGACCTCAGAGCAACCTGTCCTTTCAGTGACCTGTCCTCAGTGACCTAACATCATGGTGAACGTATCCTCTCAGTGACCTGTCCGCTCGGTGACGACCTCTCCTCACAGTGACCTATCCTCACTGTGACCTCTCCTCACAGTATCCTGTCCTCACAATGACCG